TTGTTTTTCCAATATGTGTTTTTATTTAAATTAGAAACATGCTTGCTTCGCAAGTCAATCCCAGCTCCCTTTCCCATACCTCCTCCTTTGCCCTGCCCCCAGCCCTCCCCCCAGCCCCTCACCCAATCCCCACACCATTCCCCAGGGATGGTGAGGCCCTTCTTGGGAGGATCTCCAAAGTCTGTCATTTCATCCAGGGCAGGACCTAGGCCCTCCCCCATGTGTCCAGGCTAAAAGAACATCCCTCCATGATGACCACTGTTTTTTATTTTATTTATTTATTTATTTGTGGTGTATGTGTGCACATACATACATATGTGTATGTGTGCACATGTGGAAGTGCATGCTATTTGTGCATGTACATTTGAGTACATGTGGAAATCAAAGAACAACTTATAGAAGTTAGTTCTCTCCTTCTACCATAAGGGTCTTAGAGATAGGATTCGGGTTTTCAGGCTCACTATCAGATGCTGGTACGCACCGACCCACCTCTTTAGAGCATTCTCCAGTTTTACATTTCTTTACACATTCTTTCTAAAAGACCATGCCAGTCATTTAAAGCACATAAAGAAACAGTTCTAAATTTCCTACAGATATACATACATTTATCTAACTTGGATGAATTTGGTAACTCCTGCTGCTCTATTGCAACATTCTTGGCCTCATTCTGTCTCTGCAAAATACCTGCTGGTTGTAGATGACTTTTCAAATTCTTTCCACCTTAAGAAAATTTGGTTATGTGGTTGCAGCACTGCTTTGAATGTCAGACCATGAGTGTGCTAGGCAAGTGCTCTACCTTTGAGATCACTTCCAAGACTAACCCTGTCTGAAGAAAGAAGGACCTGATGTAGGTCCAGTCAGACAGGCAATTTCTGAATATGACAAAGGGAGGTAAATATGTCCACATGTATCCAGATTTTGCCTCCTTTTAGTTATAAAATTCTGGGCAAAAACATGAACCTCTGAAATATTTTTCCTTACCCTAAAAACATATCAATGAACACAAACTCCCAGAAAGATTAAAAGAAATGAAATATACAAAGTGGCTGATGGAAGTTTGAGCACTGAAAAGGGTTTCTAGGTGGTAAAAAATCCCCCTTTGTCCAAATGCAGGGCAGATAGTGTTTAAAGATGGCATTTTAACATCATTTCCCATGGTTCAATCATTATCTTTCATAGTTTTTACCTATAATGTCTTTGAATTTTTCACTTGTCTTTCTCTGTTTTGAAATTCGGACATTAGGTAAGTTGAGAGAATTCTTGGGCTAAAGTATTTTATACATGTAAAACACATGGAATGTATATATCCATATGAGAAAGATGCTACTTGTAATATTTTACATATAAATTCCATAAAGGGGAATTTTCATATATATCATATTTTTCTTATAAAGAACAGTCAAATTAGTAGTAATTCAAGTCCATCATTTCCTTTGGACCAGGGTGTTTAGTGAGAACTTGGGCATCCTTGTCATTATTCTTACCTATGTAAAATAGGCACCATAACTGTTTTCTCCTTACTTGTTGTCTTACTAATTATAGTTATCTCAACTTGTCTTATTGGGAAGTAGTTGTGAAGAGAACAGAACACTACCAGAGTAGCACAAACTTTGGTAATACCCAAAAGAAGTGCTGACCATCTCTTAGAGCAAATTAATTCATCACTGGGGTCTATACTCCATGATGTGCATGAAGAACTTGCAGTCTTAGTATAGAGTCTTTAGCAGTCACCCCACAACTCAGGGGATATTCACTAATCATTGATTGCTAGAGCAGGACACAATGTCATCACACTAATGTGAGTTTTTAAAGTGAGGACAACTGTACATTAGATAACATACCTATATTATTTTAATAGTCAAGTTAATACACAGAAGGCAATATGAATGTTTCTCCCACTTCTAAACCTAATTTCTCCCTTTCTGTGTTTTGACACATACTGTACTCATAGAAAAAATATGATAGTGTTTTCTACAACTCTCCAGTATTTTCTTTAGCAAAAACAAACTAATGTAAGTATTTCTATTCATACTGGAAATTTTTTATATATCATTTCATTAAGGGCATTCAGATTTTTATAATAAGCTTCTTGGTATCTCCTGATTTGTGTTATTTAACCAGCTCCTATTATAGAAAGGCTTCTGGACTTTTACAATTATAAATAAGACTAAAAGGAAATACATCTATATGTGTATTTATGTATACACACACACACACACACACAGAGTGTATTCCTAGAAATGCGATAACCTGGTTTTAATGAAGATAAGTATGAAGTTTACATAAGTATTGCTAATGTTTCGTTTGAAGCATGTTTTTTTATATGTCAATACATAAATGCTTGAAAATACCTGTCAATTTGCCAGTTTCCAAATCAAGTATGTTTGTAAACTTCTTGATCTTTTTTCCCAGCTGGGACAAAGAGAGAAGGAGAAGAGGAGATCATGGGGGAGCAAGAAGTTTGGGTTGGGGGAAGAATAGGGTAGAACACGATGAGAAATACCATAATAGAGGGAGCCATGATAGGTGTGAAGAGAAATCTGGCACCAGTGAGATCTCTAGCAATCTACAAGGATGACACCAACTGGCAAACTGAGCACTGGTGGAGAGACTACATTAAATGCCCATCCCTGATAATGAGTTTGACACTACCTTATATGCCATCCTAAAGCCTTCATCCAGTGAATGATGAAAGTAGAGGCCACAGCTAAACACTAAACTGAACCCCTGGAACCCAGTGACAAAGAGGGAGGAATGGTGAGCAAATGGATAAAGAATGGGCTGGTGAAACCAGCAGAGACAGCTAACCTGAACAAGGGGGAGCTCTTGGACCCCAGACTGACAGCTGGGAGGCCAGCATGGGACTGATACAGACCCCCTGATTGTGGGTGTCAGCGAAGAGGCCTGGACAATCTATGGGGCCCTGAGCAGTAGATCAGTATTTATCCCTGGCATACAAATGGACTTTGTGTGTCCATACCACAGAGAGGGATACTCTCTCAGCCTGGACTCTTCGGGGAGGGCCTGGCCCCTGCCCTGAACAAAATGACAGACTCTGGATATCCCCTACATGGAAGGGAGTGGATATAGGGTGGGAGGCTGAGGGGGGGATGGTGGAGGTGTGCAGGAGGACAGGAGGAAGCTGGGATTGACATGTGAAGCAAGCTTTTATCTAAAAAAATATAAAAAATATAATGAAAAACAATTCAAGGTCTTTGTCAAAGTAAAAAATAATGAGGGAAATACCACAATATATCTCTAGGTTGAACACTCCATATTTTTAGTGTTGAGTTGATATCTTCTCACATGTTTACATATCCTTTATTGTTTTATTTTTCTATCTTTCTACTTTCTATTTAGAGATATGTCTCACACTACAAATTAAATTTCTTGAGGAAATAAATATTGTTCTCTGTACCATCTCTATCCTAGTACAAAATATGGAAAGCAGAAAGCGCTCCATAAATATTTGATGAATGAGTACTTCTTGTCACAATGGTTTAACTACCTATTATACCACTTTGAACTTTGGTTCACAATTTTTCCTTAGGAAATAATATCATGAACAAATATGCTGATAAAAAGGATATCTAGATTAAAAATTAAATTCACTATAACATTATTTTACACAACTATTCATCTCTTCTTTTGACATCATTTCCCATAGCATTAGTACTTATTGTCTCTTACTGGAGCATGAATTTACTGATGAAGGTGTCAGTCTTGGGTGCAGGATGAAGAGAAGTTATCTGAGAAACATAACTTGTGTGTTTCACTTCTCCCTGCCAACCCCTTGCTCCAGAGGGACTTTTACTGAGAGCTCATCACACTCACAGCTCCAGGGAACACCCCATAAGGAGCTTCTGGGAAAGTGGCTCTTCTACGAGTTTTGAATATAAGTAGACAGATATGGAAATTGCTCTGAGGAGGATGCTGCAGGTTCTAGTGCTGTCAAGAGATCAGGTAATGTGTGAAGGTTGTGAAGAGGGTGTCCAATGATCAGAAGAGAATTAGGCCAGAGCTTTCACCTTTCCAAGTGAGTCCTCACAGGGCATGGTAAGAAAACTCAAGTGAAATTCGACTTGATGCCCACAAAAGTCACAATTATTTCCCAATAACCTTGGGAGATGAGAACTTGTAAGAGTTTTAGGAACCAACTGCCAAGTCTTCCTGTTCTTCCTTGTATGGAAGAGGAAGTTGGTTAAGTGAAAAATCCCCCAGTTCAGAGTGTACAACGGGGGTGTGTCAGAGCAAGGGCATGCAGCCAGTCTCAGGCTGCTGCAGTCTCCTCCCTGCCTGGGGATTCTCACTGGTGCTTTTCTTCTTTGATAATCGGTGTTACCTGTCTTTCATGATGACTGGATTTTAGAAGGTGCAGTATGACTGTTGAGTGAGTAACAATTGGATACCATGGGCCTGATATTTTAGGGAGTATTCTTGGAGAGTCTGCACCATTATCATGCCCAGATCACCTAACCCTTACTTAGAAGAATAGTTAAAGAGTAAGAAGACTTCCTGAGAGAGGTCACAATAACCACCTTTAGATGGCAATCCTTCCTTTACAACAGCACAATACCTCTGTATATTTTGTTATTGTAAACTGGATACACAGAGTGAGCAGCAAAGATAGAGGTCATAGGAGAGATTACAGTAGAAAAGCTTCCTCTTCTCTGTGATTGATAGTGGGACAGCGGAGAATTGAGTTGCTGGACTCTCAAGAGTCCAGTAGTAGAACATACACAAACACTAAACAGAGTCGGGAGTCTTCACTTCTAGTTCCAGTCCAGCATACAGCCACCATTTCACCTTGGGTGGGGGACGAGGAAGGGGAAAGCTGAAGTTCCACTGTGGAAACATGAGGGATTCAATCAGATGATGTCCAAGCTCAGCCATGTGCTCACAGTTGCTGTTCTTGGCTCTAGGACTATTTCATCAAGAGATGAAGGAGCCTGCAGTAGCGCATCTTGTAACTTAACTGCTCCCCTCTCCTTCTTGGAAGTATGGATCATGCTAACCACACCTGGACCCAGACTTTCACCCTTGCTGGCTTCACTCCTTCTGGCACTCTGAGACCTCTTGCCTTTCTGGGAACCCTGTGCATCTATCTCCTCACACTTGGAGGGAACTTGTTTATCATTGTCCTTGTCCAAGCAGATTCAGGGCTGTCGACTCCCATGTACTTCTTTATCAGTGTCCTCTCCTTCCTGGAACTCTGGTATGTCAGCACCACAGTGCCCACCTTGCTACATACCCTGCTCCGTGGACGTTCACCCATCCCATCGGCTGCATGCTTTGTCCAGTTGTATGTCTTCCATTCCTTAGGCATGACTGAGTGCTACCTGTTAGGTGTCATGGCTCTGGACCGCTACCTGGCCATCTGTCGCCCACTGCATTACCATGCGTTCATGAGCAGACAGATACAGCTGTGGCTAGCAGGTGCCACTTGGGTGGCTGGCTTTTCAGCTGCCCTGGTGCCTGCCAGTCTCACTGCCACTTTGCCCTACTGCTTGAAAGAGGTAGCCCATTACTTTTGTGACCTAGCACCACTAATGCGGTTGGCATGCGTGGACACAAGCTGGCATGCTCAGGTTCATGGAGCAGTGATTGGTGTGGCCACTGGATGCAATTTTGTCCTCATCTTGGGACTCTATGGCGGTATTCTGACGGCTGTTCTGAAGCTGCCTTCAGCAGCCAGCCGTGCCAAAGCCTTCTCCACTTGCTCTTCCCACATGACAGTGGTGGCGCTGTTCTATGCTTCTGCTTTTACCGTGTATGTGGGCTCGCCTCAGAACAGACCTCAGAGCACCGACAAACTTATTGCTCTAGTGTACGCCCTTCTCACTCCATTCCTCAACCCCATCATCTATTCTCTTCGTAACAAAGAGGTGAAGGAGGCTGTGAAAAGGGTCAGTGACAAGATCAGGACTTCGCTGAGGGAAGCCTGATTATCTCTTTTGGTGTTATCCACATTCTGGGCAAAAGTAAGGATCAACTGGTTTGTTAATCGTTTTTGCAGAACCTAAATAAATGCCGATAAGATTACCACTCAATTTAGCACTCACGATGCTGCACAGACCCACTGTCTTACACCAGTCAAAGGTGGAGGCAGTTGAGGGAAAAGAAGTATTTCCTCCCTAATCCTTTCCAATGAAGAAATGCCACAGCAGATTAAAAACTTGCATAGAGAAAATATTTCAGTTGAATTTATGACTTTAGTTTTTGAACTGGGACACATACAAGAGTGAGAAAAGATAAACACATTTGTCCAGTGCCTACTCCCTGTCAAGACTTTCTGTCCTTCTAATTACCAGACCAGCCCTGAGTAGGTAAACGATAGCTCAGAATTCACAAATCTCTAAAGTGTAGCAGATGAAAAAAGCAGACGTGACAACACTGAAGTAAGGCCCCCTACAGCCAGCAGCAGCCTCTTCATTTCAAACCATGATCTCAACAGGGAGTTTAAAGGGCAGGCAACAAAGGTGACAGAAACAATTCAATGACAGCATGTGTGGAGACTCACAATGAGCAGACAGCTCCCAGCTGGTCCAGCCCAGTAATCTTGACTCACAGTACCAGAGTCAGCAGAGGATGACAGAGCTTTCGGGCCTGGAGACTAGAATTGCTCACCTCGTCTCTTACGGGACAAGGGCAGTGGAGCTGAGCATGAGCTCACTTTCAGAATCGTGGTTATTTTATTACTAACAATGAATCTGAAGCCATCCTTTCCAGGAGGAGCAGAAAGAAACTGAGGTGTGTCAGGAAAGGTGGGTGTGTACACAGTAGAAAGAAAAATACCACACAAATCTGTGGTGTCAGGCCCCGTCCTCTGCTCAAAGTCTGACAATACTGTTCCCTTTAGCCTCCACATTTCAGACTTTGTGAACTCTGAGTCACCAGGTACCCACTTAGGGCTGGTCTGTAATTGGAATGACAGAACTAAAGCCTTGAGGGAGACTAGGCACTGTGTGAACGTGTGGCATTTTTTCTCATTCTTACATATGTGTCACTACAAAAATCAAAGTAATGAAATTTTTAATACTTACCACATCAGGATTGGTGATTATAAAAATTCTGTATACACACAGGTATGTGTGTGGAGTGTGCGTGTGTGTGTGTGTGTGTGTGTGTGTGTGTGTGTGTGTGTAGTGTGTGTGTGTGTGTGTATGAGTTGAGTTGAAGCTGTATCCAGCTTGGCTTGAGTTTCACTTTATATACTAGACAGACAGGCCTTAAACACACAGTACAGTGCTTCAGTGTATTGGGGCTTAACAACAGCTGTAAAATCATGCCTAGCCTAAAACACATTTTAAAACCTTCATCATATCCCTATGATGACTAAGGGTTATTGTTTCACTGTTGTCACAACAAAATTAGAAAGGAATTGCCTTCAAGAGTTGAATTCAACCAGATGTCATCCAGATGTCTAGCTGACCTTGGCAGGGTCACGTCAAGCTCAACTTTGTGTGAAATCTGAGTGGCTGGCAGGGAAGGTGGCTGACATTCCTTCCAGCTGAGGAAGTTTCGATTCTAATTGCAACATTTTCTAAAGCATCATCTGATCCAGGTCCAGGAGAGCATATTCTGAATATCCCCAAGAAAGGAAATTTATTGGTCAAATTCAGCCCCAGCTTTTCTATTTACTGGGGAAAAATACCTGCTTTCTGACTTCTCTTTGTTTTACAATGTCTGTAATAGAATATTCTAAAATTCCAATGAATGTTCAGTAAACAAATTGACCTTGTTATCTCACAGTGGTGATTAGAAAAGAGACTGAAGGTTTCCTTCATGGGTTCAAACATTAATTCTAATATTCACTTGCTTTATGGCCTTAGGCAATGTATTTAAAATCTCTGCCTTAATTTCCTTAATCTGTAAAATGGGTACTGTGATAGGATCTTAGGAACAACATAAATGTTATTATCCAACATTTTCCACATCGCTACAAGAAGGATTTGCTCATTTGAGAATGCTTAGCTGTACATATATCTTACATTTGTGGGGGTGTTATGCAGCATACTCGAGGCATTCCAATGACACATCTCCTCCTGAGCTGTGTTCACAGTCCTCCTTATGTAACCAGAGCACTTGGACATGATCATTAACCCTATGCTCTTTCAGTGCTGGGTACAGTACTGTACAGTACTCCATTATTCTGGCTTTTGTTTGAGACCCTTGTCTTTTCTCTCCTTATGCCTCTAACTTCTGATTGTGATTTCAAAGGAATTGTTTTCTGTGTCGTCAGCACTAAAGAACTGCTGGGACTTGTTTGTTCTGCCAGTGGCTTGCATCACTTTAGTAATTAACCCTGTGGGCTTCCATTCCTATGGTATCCATGCTCTATAGTAGGATAGTGGTACTTATGTATCTACTGCAGAGCTAGTGGCCAGTCAACTTAGGAAAACGATGGCTACTACACCATGAATTTTTATTCATTTGTATTTGAAGGAAAATGGATAAGTGAATAAATAAACAGACTTTTAAAAAATCGAATACGTGTGACAGACATTATATTACTATTCTTTAATTCTATCCAGAGAAAATGCCTCTTGCAAATACATTCATAACTCCAAACTACCTTTGCCTTTCATTGTACACCATTTTATCTCTTAACCTCCTTGGGTCTTTCCCTTACAACATGAATCTGAGGCTATTTTTACACAGTGCTTTTCAAAACGTACAAATAACATTTATATCATTTGTGTGTAATGCGACTGGATCTTCATCCCCTCTACATACTCTTTGAGTGGCCAGATGGTATTTCGGGGAATTGGAGTCTCTCAGGCTGGCTCTGGCAGGAAGCAGCTATTTATTCCATTTTGTACTTCAAACGACATAGAATTTTATAAGTGCCGATTGTGATGTATGGAGCTAAACGTTCATGTTAACTTTTGGCCACTCCTCCAATGCTGGATCTTGATGACTTTAGTAGAACAGACAGTAGAAGAGGTCAGTACTAAAAGTAAACACATCACTCACAGTACACTTGCAGTAAGTCCAGCATTCCTCATGCGGGTTATTGGTACTTTGTCCTAACTCCAGTACAGTAAGTAGCAAAGAAAGATGGAATTAGTAAGAACCCTGGACCCTGAATGCAAACCTGCTCAGTTATTTTGTGGAATGAACTATGACCACAAGACATCATTTTCTTGTTTATCGGGTATAGTTTAGCTGTACCTGATGCCTTTTTTGTAGCCTTTAGGGCACAATTTTGAAATATCATTATTGATAAATACAGCTTACAATAATTTATGAATGTGTTTGCAAGTTTCCTATGATGTATTTTGAATAATTCACCCCCTCCCCCACATCCTCCCAGATCTACTCCACTTCCTTACCCAACTTAATTTTGCATCCTCTTTATTATTTCAAAAAAGTTTAAACTCAGGGTGAAGAGATGGCTCAGTGGTTAAGAGCACTGACTGCTCTTCCAAAGGACCAGAGTTCAATTCCCAGCACCCACAGGGCAGCTCACAACTGTCTATAACTCCAGTTCCATGGAATACAACACCCTCATAGAGGCAAAATAATGTACATGAAATAAAAATAATTTTAAAAATTTAAACTCATCAAGTTCTATTTGTGCTTCCCATATATCTTTGGGTATATGGCCTTCCACTGCAGCTTGGTGGACTTAGGGGTGGGCGGTATGCCCTCAAAGAAAACTGACTCTCTCTCTGCCACAGAGCTATCAGTTGCCAATAGCCACAGCTAAGAATATGACTTCATGTTCATCCCTCCTCTCCGTGCTGAGATTTAGCCTGGCATGGTCTTATTACGGATGTTGTCATAAGTGATGTGAGTTCATATGTATATCTGCCCTACTTTGTCCAGAAAAAAGCTTGCTTGTACTCATCCACCATCTCTGACTTCAATGATTCTTCTTCTCACTCTTCTTCAATGTCCCTAAGTTTATAAAGCATTCATTAATTTACTTCTAATTTCTCATGGGCATGTGCTATTTTTTGAAAATTTACTAATGATCTATTGAATTTTTGTACATATATTATATCCTTCCCACTTAAAACTTTTATATAGATAATTTTAAAAGCCATCCTTTGCTACAGATTACAACTTGATAGTATATATTCCTCTTCTGTGTAATGCTACGTAGCATCTCCTACTTCTATGCTCAGGCATTTGCATCTGATTAATAATAACCTGAGACACAGGACTTGAGAGCATAATCCACTCAGTCATTAGCATGATTTCAGACATGCAAATGGAGATATCACATCAAATGTAGAAATTCTGAGACAATTCTTCTCCGAGCTTGGCTGGCAAAATAGAAATGCAGAAGGACAAATGTAATGTGAAAATAAGGAGAAACTCAGAATATGAACTTTGCTACTTTGAGTAGCCCCATTATTAATTTAAGGGTTTGGATAAACCATGGTCCCATGTGTGGGGCTGTAGAAGATACAGCATTGTATTGCATTGTATTGAAGGACTGCTGCAATTATCTATCCCAGTGAATAGTTGAGTATTTCAGAGGAAGAAGGATACAGAAGCTGCCCACCATTGCACTCAGAAGCAATGGGTATTTTATACTTTGGTCTCCAACGTTATGATTTCCATGGGAAGCTTTTCCAGTCTCGGGGATTTAGTATTTTCCATCCACTTAATGTGATCTGTTTCTTTTTTTCTTTTTATCCGACATGTTTTTATTGATTATTTGTGAGTTTCACAAAATAACCTTGATCACACTCACTTCTCAGTCCTCCCAGTTCCACACTCGCACACGTATGACCTCCTCTCAGAACAAGGAAGAAGAAAGAAAAATACCAACTCTATTTTGTGTTGCTCACATGCCCAGTGGTGCATGGTCAAGCTCCCAGTGACCAGCCCATTAAGAAAACTGAGTCCTTCCCCACCCATACCCCCACCAGAAGCCTTCAACTGTGGAGAATATTCCTATCACAAGTTTAAGAGTTCTCTTCAATGGCTT